CGCTCTTCCTCCGCCTCGTTGACCTGAGGACACCCCAAAACCCCTTCAGAAGCGGGGTCCCCCCCGATCCCCATCACCCCCAGCCTCCAGCTGCCTCCTCCCAGGCCCCATCACACCCCTCCTGGGGCTGAAGAACCTCCCCGTACTTTGCAAGTAGCGTGGTTGAGCATCTCCTGCCAGGTGGGATCCAAGCGGTTCTTGTCGGCCATGACCCCTTGCTCCGCCACGAAAACCATCTCGCGAGCGGCATTGTGCATGCTGACGGCTCGCTCGTACCGCAACGCCGCCTTCTGCGTCTCCTGCTGAGCCTGCGCGGCGAGCGGGGACAGGGTTACGACGCCGGGGAAGGGAGAAGAAGACCCCCCCCACCCGTTTTTTTGCACCCCTGGGTGCTGTCGGTACCTCCTTGGCGAGGCGTCGGGCTTCGTAGTAGGGTCGAGCTTTCTCGATGCAGTTGCCCAACTGGGAGCCTTGGGCGTTGAGCTTCCTCGCCGATTCGGAAAGGATGCGGCGATAGGCGGTGCGGGCTTCCTGGGGGGGAGGAGCAAAGAACGTCTCATCCCCGCGTCCTCCTGTCCCTCATCGTCCTCCTGTCCCTCATCGCACCCAGGGAGAGCCCTCGGCAGCGGGTGTCGTCCCACCGAGCCCAAAACCAGCAGGGACCAGTTAAGGAGTGGGGGGGAGCGGTTAAGGAGGGGGGAGACCAGATAAGGAGTGGGAACAAGGACTCGGGGACCAGTTAAGGGCTGGGAACAAGGACTGGGGGACTGATTAAGGACTGGCAACAAGCACTGGGGGACCAGTTAGGGGCTGGGGGACCCAGTTAAGGGCTGGGAACAAGGACTGGGGGACTGATTAAGGACTGGCAACAAGCACTGGGGGACCAGTTAGGGGCTGGGGGACCCAGTTAAGGGCTGGGAACAAGGACTGGGGGACTGATTAAGGACTGGCAACAAGCACTGGGGGACCAGTTAGGGGCTGGGGGACCCAGTTAAGGGCTGGGAACAAGGACTGGGGGACTGATTAAGGACTGGCAACAAGCACTGGGGGACCAGTTAGGGGCTGGGGGACCCAGTTAAGGGCTGGGAACAAGGACTGGGGGACTGATTAAGGACTGGCAACAAGCACTGGGGGACCAGTTAGGGGCTGGGGGACCCAGTTAAGGGCTGGGAACAAGGACTGGGGGACCAGTTAGGGGCTGGGGGAACCAGTTAAGGACTGAGGAAGAAGGACTGGGGGACTGGCTAAGGACTGGGGGACTGGTTAAAGGCTAGGGGACAAGTACTGGGGGACCAGTTAAGCACTAGGAACAAGGACTGAGGGACCAGTTAAGGGCTAATGGATCCAGTTATGGTCTGGGGAACAAGGACTGGGGGACTGGCTAAGGACTGAGGGACGAGTACTGGGGAACCAGTTAAGGACTGGGGGACCAGTTAGGGACTGGGAGCAGCTCACATCCAGCTGGAGCTCCACCCGGTTGATCTCCTCGTTGGCCTGGTTGAGATGCTCCAGCTCCTCCTGGGGAAGCGAGAAGCCAAAGGCGGGGTGAGGGAAGGGAAACGCAACCCCAAAACCCACTGCACCCCCCCCAAAAAAAATGGGGGGAACTGGGAAAAAGACCCTACCCACACCCACCCCTCACCTGTATCCGGGGGTCCAGCTCTTCCTCCTCCTCCTCCTCCTCTCCTACCACTTTTGGGGGTGTCCCGGGGTCCTCGCCGTCACACGTCCCCCCCGAACCGGCCGCCCCCGCCTCCTCCTCATCCGCCCCCGGGGAGACCCCCAGCTGCCCGGGAGGTGTCCGACGTCCGTCCCCTCCGTTTGTCCCCCAAGCCAGCCTCTCCTCCGCGTCCCCCATGGCGGGGTCCCCCCCAATCCGGGCGACGTCGGGGGCCCCTTTGTTTCCGGG